GTATTGTTCATTAGTCATTACTTTGACTTACCTCTATGTTAATTGTTAATGCAAACTTTTCTGTTGGTATGTGAACTGTGAACTATCTTCATGTCACTCAATTCTCTCAAATTGTGACCGTCATGAGCCTCTTTTATTTTGTATTCTGTATAATGTAACTGGATGCCTTTACTAATATGGCCTTTGTATAAGATTGTTTGTTTCTAACCATACTTTGGTATTCATAACTTCTTATGAAAGAAAGTTGTTAACATTTTGAGCACCTATGAGCTATGATCCCAATGGATCTCACGACAAAATTGGGGAGCCAGATCTATGATCCGAGTGGATCTAGCGACAAAATTGAAGGGTCAGATCTATGATCCCAGTAGATCTCTCGACAAAATTGAGGGGTTGGATCTATGATCTGAATGGATCTCGGATCGGGATCCATGGGATCGGATCTCAGATCCATTTTTCCGTATCCAAGCACATGTCTGGTAGATTCATTCCTTCTACCAAGTATTGGACTATTCCCGATGCATGTGGCTGGCCCCTTATGCACGTACCACGTGCAAAACGAAGAGGTGTCACTTTTGTAATAGTTGCAATATCTCGGTAACTACTGGGCCGATTGCGCTGAAAGTTGGCATGTAGGTAGGCACCCACTAGGCAATGCATATCCATGTGCCAGAATTGGGGTGCTGCTGCACGTGCGCACGTGCAGGGGTCGATTCCAGATCTCGAGAACGGCTGGACCGATTGCGCTCAAATTTAGTACATGGTTACGGAGCAGTTAGTACCTGGTGCCGTGCACAAGTCAGTTGGGACCCATTTTGCACGTGCGCACGTGCAGGATGCCGCTTCCAGATCTCGAGAACGGCTGGGCCGATTGTGCTCAAATTTGGCACATCGCTAGAGACCGGTTAGTAGGGTGCACTGCCGTGCACAAGTCAGTTGGAGGTACCTACTCCCTCGCAATTTCGCACGTGCAAGGCCCACTCTCTCGCTCGCTCCGTTAGTCGCCCTAAAAGGCATTATACTGGTTCGATAAATCTCGACAAATTTTCGACAAATCGGCTGTATCAAGTGAAAACTGGGCGAGATGGCGGTCTACGGTAAACGTGATTGACCGTGACGTCAGTAGCACGAGGGAAAGGCAGGCTCGTGTTTCATTGCCTGAGATGAAGCCAAGAAGGATGAGGACAAGTGACAAAATAACACGATCAGAGGACTACTACAAGGTAGGCGACTTGGTACAGCTGTGCCGCTTACCAACTCCAGTCACCAACATCAACTCTTCTAGTGAGAAACTCGTTACCAATGTGTCAGAGTTAAGCTGCTGCTTTTCATTAGCTTAGCCCCATCAAAGACGAACGCTCTCCCATTCTAACTGGGAAGTGGAGGCGCACCCTCAGTCAAAAACGGGGAACATCCGATAAGAGCGCCGAAACACCAGCTGCTCTTCCAAAGGCCGTCATTTCGCCGCCCAGCCGAGCTCTCAGCGCCCTCTGGTGAACGGTGTTGCACCACAGTTAGCCAGCCGGGGCCGGCCAGCGTCGGCGGTACGAGTAGCAACTCTTGTGTCCTCTGCCCAGCGTAGCCTAGCCAGACCGGCTCTGTATGGACCTCCGGGACCACGCTGTCGGCCCAGAGCAGGCCCCACTCTCGGCAGACTACTGTAACACCAGAAGACGCCCTGTCCCTCCCTGCCCCACCCTGTGGACGCCCACTCCCGTCCTGTATACTCACTGCCTCAGCAGTGGATAGAGATTGCAATCCCGGAACGTTTTGCCAATCCCGGGATCCCGAAAGTTTTTATTTCGGGATCCCGGGATCCCGGGATTCCGGTCTTGTCACTAAAGGCCGTAAGAATAATTTCCTACAGACATATTTTGCGTCTTTTAGCCCTCGCCCCGTTGGGGGGGGCCATTTTGCCCCCCCCCCCTGTGGTTTTTCCTGAATAGCAAGAAAACGGCGGCGCGCAGCGCCGCCAAATTTTCAGTAAGGGAGACCCGGGAGGTATGGGCCGGTTTTGTGAAAAGGCAATTTTCTTCCAGTGGGCAGTGGCTAGACCCGATTTTTCACTCTGTGCACGTGAAATTGCCTTTCGCCTGCAAAGTGTGCCTGATATTAGGCATCTGGGATCAACTATTTTGTCTCGAGATAACTTTCAATAAATAATGTGCTTTTTCGATCCATCAAAATACACCGGGAGGTATGGGCCATGGCCCGGGAGGTATGGGTCGGTGCAATGTTTCATATTATTTTCTCGACAATGAGAACAATATTCGTAGCTGGTATTTACCTTGATCTCTCTTAGAGTCCAGGAACCGTATAAGCGGCCAACAGCTTACTTCATGGAGGTCACTTGGGCACATATGTATTTTGGTAAACTCAACCATGCACCATGAAATAAAATGAATAATATTTTTTGGTTCGAAGGAAATTTGAAGTTAAATTTTCAACCTTGCGCGACAAAGATAAAACTTATTGAAGATGACACTCACTGAAAGCACCTTTTTATTGATTTATGATCAACAGGGGTCGGTGGCCCGAACCTCCCGGTTAGGACGCCAGAAGTAGCGTAGCATCTCAGCTCATAATCTTGCAAGAAAGCTTCAAATTATCTATCCAGTCTTAATTTGCATGTTTTAAACGTTATGTTACAGATGGTCTGACATCATAAAACGAGCCTGGTTCAAAGTTATCACGAATTTTCTGTATGTACAGTATTTTACTCGAAGAGGGCAAAAACGCTTTATCACCGCTCATTGCCAAAGAAGACTAAGGAAGATTTTGAAAATCGCGTGGGTTGTATAACTGAATAACTGCTACCAGTTTACGCTGTCAAATGTGTAAAAATACGCAATACTTCTTCGAAACTACGATGGCCCATTCCTCCAGGGGGCCCATACCTCCCGGGTCTCCCCTACCTTTCCGGGCATCAATTTGACACCTTCACACCAAATTTCAAGTCTTAGGTCACCTTAGGTCAGGAGTTATTGAGGTCAAACTGAGGTCATGTTCGAGCAAAAATGAGCAAAAAACATGCAATCTTGAAACGCTCACCAAATCTACAGTTATCAAGCAATTTCAAAGTTCTTTATATGGTCTAATAGACAAAAAGCGGCGCTACAAAACTGCTATCTCGGATTTTCAAAATTTTGGGTTTTTGACCCAAAAAATTTCAAACAATTGATTTTTTTTAGAAAAACTAAAAAAAAAATCCAAAGTTTTTCCGAATTTCGAAAAAACCGGAATATATGTGATAGTCCCTGCGCTTTTCTATATACATACCAAATTTCAGATCGATATCTCGTTTTTTGGCCAAGTTATAGCGAAAAAACTGTTCAAAAATGATGACGTCAAATTTTTGAACTCAATTTTTAGCGATTCTAGACCTCGTACGGCAAAACAAAGACCACCATTGAACTCCCCGTGACGAGCTGCATCGATTCGATACCCATTTTATGCAAAAATATCAACTTTGAAATTTGACCTTATTTGACCTGACCTTGACCTGACCTTGACCAAAACGTGACCTAAGCTGGCCCCAAAGGCTGCCTGACCCACATAATCGCATTTGTCATGTAAAATGGACCATAAAACATGTATCACACGACACTTTCATATTGTGACCCCCCAGTGACCTGACCTCAGTGACCTGACCTGGTATCAGTGACCTCAACTAGCAAAATATGTGTTTGAAGAACATTTCCCCATCGATGATTTTCAATGAAATGCATTTTACTCGATTTTACAACGCATTTCTTGAAATGCCTGTAAACGGTGAAAATTGGACCTTTGACCTGACCTGTGACGTCATCGGTTCGACCTAGGTCAATAAAATTGGGTCACAAGGTAGTTCCCTGATAGGGCTATCCAACACCGTTTGCCGCTTGTCGCTACGTTGCGTGGTTCTCGAGATCTTAGGGGGGGCCAAAATGCCCCCCCCCCCCAACGGGGCGCGTTGCTCGGCAGAGCCCAACGGGGCGCGGGTTAGCTTACAATAAACAAAGAGGCAACCAAAAGCCATCCTTACACCATGTCATTTGCAATAAACACGATTGAATTTGCGAAAGAAACGTTTCGATTTGATTAGCATTAGGCCAATTGGCCTGAATAAAACTGTGCGCCGACCTGTGCGTTTACTATCTCGTCATTAAGACGGATTCCAGCACATCAACGCCTCACTCACTCTTCGTCTACGCTACTCGTAGTAAGCGCGACAGTTTTAAGCCATTGCTGGTAGGTCTGTCTATTTTAAAACTCGCGACCAGCGTACGCCAAATTTGGCAGCTCCCTATTTCACAATGTTTTCAAGACGTCGCTTGGTCACTTCACCTCCTTCCGGTTCCGCTTTCATCACTAATGTCTCTCAGACTTTGCTCCAAAGTCGCTTTGAGGGCAGAGTCACTGACTGGGAGAGCTCCACTCTACCGTCTTCAACGTTTGAATCAGTGAGCTCTGCCGTCACTTGCGTGACATCTGTGACATCTTTCTGCGACACGAGCTCAAACACTGTCTTGATGACCTCTTTTGTCCCGGCCACGGACGGACAAGTCAGAATCGCTGAACGATCCGTGATCCTGATTGAGATGTTGCTGCACTGATGCTGCAATTTTTTGGCGTTGGGGACCGTTTGTCGTACACATTTAAGCGGCTTATCCGCTGTGGATGATACCCGGGAGCTACCAACACGGTCAATTGTGGACGGCCGATACGGGGTGCCAGCTAAATAGTTTCTCTGCTTTATGTCACTCAGCACCATGAACACTAACAGTGTAAACAAGACTCGTGCAGCGGCTGCATTTTTTTTTTTATGGTGAAAAACTGATATTTTCGGGATCCCGGGATTGGCGGAATTTCGGGATCGGGATCGGGATTAAAATCCCGCCGGGATCCCGGGATCCCGATCCCGGGATTGCAATCTCTAGCAGTGGATAACCAACCGCTCCGGACACTCAAACACCAGTTCACCCCACCGGACAATCGGCTCGTTATTGGCGCCTGCTCACCTGAGACATGAACTCGTAGGCGACCGTTTCGTTATTGGCGAACGGCACGCGTCCGGCCACCACGGCACCCTGCAAGAAGAGCCTCAGGCTGATGTCGTACTGCTCGCCCTTGACCAGCGCGGTGATGGTCTGGTGGCAGAACTGGAATATCTTGCCCACCTTCTTGTCCCACTTGTCGTCCTGCCGTCGCGGGGAGGGGGAGACGTCAGATAAATAGAGGACTAGGGGGCAGCACCTGCCGGGGGACAGAGGTGACATAGGGACACCCACCGACATAAGGGAGAGATATTGCCCAGCTGCATGAGGGAGGATACTACACACTGACAGATGGGAAAGCACGCGCTGCGTGCTAACAACCAAGGAAAAGCGACACAACACTTACCAATATAAGATCAGGAAGATAATGAGCATTCATAATTTAGTTTAATACTCAAGCATTGATGACAGAAAATAAGCATCCAAGAATGCAACAATAATTTGGGAGGTGACATTTACGAATTACGAATGGAGGAAGAGGAGCAAAAGGTTATACAATTATACATGGCAGGGATGACTGAGACATATTATCACATAGGGGTGACTCGCTGTACGGTCTTGCCGCTGCCACTGGCCGGGGGGACGCACCTGTTCTCGCAGCTCGTGGTACTTTTGCGCCAGTCGGTAGGCCTTGAAGAGCAGCGGCGGCAGTGTGAATTTGATGCGCCGGCCGCCGGCGCCCAGGTGGCGGCGAGCAGACGTCAGGATCAGGTACTGCTGGTCGGCGTCCTCCGAGCGCATCTGGTGCAAAAACCTGGCGGGGTGGGGCGGGACACGGTCAGCGCATCTGGTGCAGGGACCTGGAGGAGCGGGGCGGGGCACGGTCAGCGCATCTGGTGCAGGAACCTGGAGGAGCGGGGCGGTGTGAGGGTCAGCGCATCTGGTGCAGGAACCTGGTGGAGCGGGGACACAGTTAGCACAGCAGTCACAGGAACCTGGCGGAGCGGGGCGGGACACGGTCAGCGTATCTGGTGCAAAAACCTGGCGGAGCGGGGCGGGGCAGGGTCGGCACGGCGGTCACAGGTCGAGTCTGGTCACACGGGGCGGGGTAAGGTCAGGTCAGCACGGCGGTCACAGGGACCGGGTAAGGTCAGCAGGGCGGTCACAGGGAGCCTGGCGACACGGAGCCGACACAATTACAGTGTGAGCCGTGTACTTAACCCTCGCCCGCACATGCCATTTTCCCATCCTAGAACGCACATGGGGGGGGGGGGTGGTTGCCACCCCCCCCGCGCCATTTCGTTCCTGTTGGAGATAGAGCTTAGCAGTAAAGACCAAAAAGATTCTTTGGGAAGAGACGAATCCAATGATACCCAGTTTTACCTTCTCAGGTCAGTCATTGACCTTCCAGGTCAGGTCAAACTAAAAAATATTGCTGTTTTGGGTCACCGTTGGATATCAAGTGCGCTGCTTATCAAATACCGATGACGATGCTGTTTTCTGGTGCCAAGCCAGCTAGAACCTCTTTGTCACACTACCCGACCAGAATTTTGCTGCTGAGGTCATTTCAGGTCAAGTTAGGTCAAGGTCAATTATATGTGTTTGTATGTCTGTGTGTGTCTGTGTGTATACTGATGTGTGCATCGATTGTTTTTGGGTCCATATTACATGAAATCATGATCTGAGAAGCTTTTACCAAAAATGCAGTCAAAAAACTTCACAAAAAGTAAATTCAGCTTGCCTAAAACGCAATTATCTTAGATGACCTAGGTTGACCTTGACCCTGACCTTGACCCCTGTACATCGTCGAACAACATGTTCCATGATAGGTGGGAGGTAAGACTGGCAAAAAAGGCCGAAATCAGGGTGTCAAAAGCTCACAAGGCCCATGGCAAGCGCAAGATGTTGAGAATTGGCCATTTGGGTCATGACATGACCTGAAAAACAAGGTCATATCTCCGAAACCAAAAATCACAGAAACTTGAAATTTTCAGAGGACATCAAGAAAGGATAGAGGAGCCGCTATACGAAAAATCAGCCTTCTAGCTCTAAAAATGTTGAGTGCAGAGCAGAAAGACTACCTGGGGGGGTGGCAACCACCCCCCCCCCCATGTGCGGGCGAGGGTTAATCATAGTCTGATCTGTCTTCAGACTTACCAACAGTTCAAAGACATGTGGAAGCAGGAAATTTCCGATATTTTGCAACAGCTCACCGTTGTCTACCAGTTTCTCACCGTCCATCACATACCGGCCATAAGCTCTTCAGATCATCTCACACATACCGTCCAACCAGTTCCTGTTCCTCGTTAAAGTCATCGTCGGAGAAGTCTGAGGCGGCGTCCGGCTGGTCCGTCACCAGAACACCGATCAGCGTCAGCAGACTGTCCACCTGGGGATATATCACAGCGTCAGCAGGCTCTCCACCTGGGGGATATATCAGAGCGTCAGCAGACTGTCCACCTGAGGATACATATCAGAGCGTCAGCACTCAGCAGACTGTCCACCTGGGGATGTATCACAGCGTCAGCAGACTGTCCACCTGAGGAATACACATCAGAGCGTCAGCAGGCTGTCCACCTGGGGAGTATATATCAGAGCGTCAGCAGACTGTCCACCTGGGGGATATATCAGAGCATCAGCATTCAACAGTCAAACTGGAGACAAATGTGAAATGAACCAATCACAGCGTCAGCAGACTGTCCACCTGGGGAAATACGGATCAATTACAGCGTCAGGAGACTGTGCAGTGTGCAGTGTGCATCTAGGGATATAAAGACAAATCACAGCGTCAGTAGACTGTCAAGACATGTCCACCGGGGGATATACAGACAAACCAGAGCGTCAGCAGACTGTCCACCTGGGGATGTATCGCAGCGTCAGCACACCTGTCCACCTGGGGAAAATGGACAGATCAGCACACTATCAACTATCCAGCCGAGAATACACGAATAATCAGTGTCAGCAGACAGACTGCCCAGCAGCCTGGGCAAGACGTATCGCGAATGTCGACGCCTGCCCTATGTATGTCCGCTTCCGCGGTGCACACCTGTGCGGCCTCCAGTCCCTCTCTGTCTGCCCACAGTACGCACCTGTGCGGCCTCCTGGACCCGGATGTCGGTACTCAGTACGTACCTGTGCGGCTTCCCGTCCCCCTCTGTCGGTACTCAGTACGTACCTGTGCGGCCTCCTACACGCGGATGTCGGTACTCAGTACGTACCTGTGCGGCCTCCCGTCCCCTTCTGTCCGTACTTTGTACGTACCTGTGCGGCCTCCCGTCCCCCTCTGTCTGCCCACAGCGCGCACCTGTGCGGCCTCCTGGACCCGGATGTCGGTACTCAGTACACACCTGCGCGGCCTCCGCTCCCCCTCTGTCTGCCCACAGTACGTACCTGTGCGGCCTCCTGGACGCGGATGTCGGTACTCAGTACGTACCTGTGCGGCCTCCCGTCCCCCTCTGTCTGCCCACAGTACGCACCTGTGCGGCCTCCTGGACGCGGATGTCGGTACTCAGTACGTACCTGAGCGGCCTCCTGGACGCGGATGTCGGTACTCGGGCGCACCTGTGCGGCCTCCGGTCCCCCTCTGTCTGTCCACAGTACGTACCTGTGCGGCCTCCTGGACCCGGATGTCGGCCTCGATAATCCGCTCGATGAGGTGCATGGCCACGTCTCGGCGCGCGGCGTAGTCGAGCAGCTGGAGACAGGGCGTGAAGTGCTCCAGCTGCAGCACCGTCAGATCGTCGTAGTTGTCCAGCGGGATCTGCAGCAGGCGCTGCAGCTCCTTGCCCAGCGCACTGTCGGCCGCCACCCTGACGGGGCGAACACAGGTCACTCAGTCAGTCTCTGGTCACATAGCAGACACAGAGCAGCCGACATGTAGTGCTTGGTCATACCGTCTACACAGAGCAGCACTGACTGAGAGTGACAACAGCCCCCGCCCGCCGCCACCCTGGCAGCGCAGATATCGGTCAGTCTCTGGTCTAAGTCCACACAGAGCAGCAGACTCGACTCACAGCTCGACGGTCCCCGCCTTTCCGCCGGAGCACGACACTCACTTGTTGGTGAGCACGCCGCCGAGCAGCTCGGCGGTCCGCTCGAACACCTTGTCGACGTAGTCGAGCCGGTCGTGGTAGCACTTGTGCGCCAGGTTCAGTAGGGACACCTGCAGCGCGGCCATGTCCTCGGCTGGCAGCGCGCCGGCGCGGTTCTGACAGGGGGAGGGTTTCAACTGTCAGTGGCACCTACTGTTAACGCCAGACCCCTTGAGACCCTAATTTTTCGCGATTACTTTTAAATGCGTGAAGGAATTTCAACCAAGCTCAGGACATGGCCGTTTCAAGACAGGCCGAAACTTTTACAATTTAGATATTTTATCGCCATTTCAATATTTCAGGCACTTGTCATTGACTCGTAATGTTAACTGTTTTTCCATCCTGGATAGAGGCTTTCTACGTCATATGACATTAGGCTCCGCCCACGACTGCGGCATTGACCCGTGCCCATCAGCGACCTCTGTACAAACGACACCCCTGCCATCTGTGAAGGACTATGAATTTCGCTGACGCTTCACGTGCTATGAGTCAATTGCAGCAGACGGTCAAGTAAATGTTAGGCTCTTGTTGACTCTTGTATATAGGACCAAGAGGACCATCACTCCTCAACCTACTACTCAGTCGTGCTTCGGAAAAACGTTAACGATTCCTAACAAATGCGATTTTCGATGTGGGATATCTGTGTGGTGAAATACGAGCGAGCCTTATGATGTAAGCGAAGGCAATTAGCTAGTTATTGCGCTGGTCGATGGGTGCATAGCGATGTACAAATCAGGAGCTACTTGATGACATCCGACATCCCATTATCGCATTATCTGCAACGCCATAGGCTTTAAATACAGGTGAATATTTCCTAACCTTATGTCAGTTATATGCCATCTGCCCGTCATATGCAGCTTATATATAAAAAAATATCAGCGAACATATCAGCATTGTAGAAGCAATGCGCATTGAGCATTTATGACTCCTTAGTCATCATGTCGCTCTCTGGGCACTGTCAGCCAAGACGCTACGCACAACTCCGCCGGCTTTCGGCACCGCTCGACCGTCGCCCGTCCCCGCAACCCGCCACAGCGAGAGTGACCGCGCGCCGGCCCGAAACCGCCGCAGGCCAAGACCACAGAGGCGGGGCTTAGCTGTGACGTCATAACGTATCACAGACTGACTGGTGATAGCCTCTACACACCGGATGAAAATCTTGCTCGAAATTTAACATTACGAGTCAATGACAAGTGCCTGAAATATTGAAATGGCGATAAAATATCTAAATTATAAAAGTTTCGGCCTGTCTTGAAACGGCCATGTCCTGAGCTTGGTTGAAATTCCTTCACGCATTTAAAAGTAATCGCGAAAAATTAGGGTCTCAAGGGGTCTGGCGTTAACAGTAACTCCACGGCAAACACCCAAATAAGACGCCGGAGCCACGCCCGTCCTCCTGCATGAGAGCTATGTACGGTGACACGTTCAGGACTCAGAAGCTAACTAGTATCATGACTGACAAAATTAATGCAAACCAGCGGCAAGGCGGAGCCTAAAACTACAGTCACCCTGCGCGCTGAAGAGTGTCAGTGTCTGTCTGGTGTCAGTGTCTGGCGGAGTCCCCCTGTACCGGCGCGGCTGGTCAGTCGGCGGACGGCTCACCTGGATCACATCGGCCACCTGCTCAGAGAATATGTCCCTGTGTGCCGGAAAACAGCGGCACAGCTGAGAGTGTGCTGAAGGTTACGGACGGCTCACCTGTATCACATCGGCCACCTGCTCGGAGAATATGTCGAACAGCGGCACGCTGTCCGGGATGCCCGAGCCGCCGTCGCGCGTGGCGAACGACGCCAGCCGGTCGATCAGAGAGATGATGATGGTTTTGACGCTGACGCCGGGGTGGAGCTCGGCACAGGCGCGCAGCAGCGAGGACAGCGTGGCCAGGTGAAACTCGTCCGGGAATACCTGGCACAGGGACAGGGTACAGCGTCACACACGGGTCTGTCAGCAGAGGGGACAGCGTGGCCAGGTGGAACTCGTCCGGAAACACCTGTCACAGGGACAGGGGGAGCGTCACAGACGGTCTGCCAGTGTCAGCAGAGGGGACAGCGTGGACAGGCCATTCGACCGGAAATACCTGACACATGACGTATCGACAGGGTCAGTCATGGCAGGAAGGGGTACCTACAAAGAGCAAAGGGGAAGGAGAACACATCAAATGAAATAAAGGGCATCGGAATTATACCAAACGAGGCATGAAGGGAGCCGGGAGGGCACAATAGTTATCGGCATGTTCAGTCAATGATCATCGGATAACGCACAACAGCCGGGCGGCGGTAAAGAAAGTCATTCTCCCGAGCACCAAGCTGACCTGAGTGACACACTCTATGAGCTGATACTCCTCGACTGACCTGAGTGACACACTCCATGAGGTACTCCTGGGAGATGGGGTCGCGGCAGCTGACTGACCTGAATGACGCACTCCATGAGGTACTCCTGGGAGATGGGGTCGCGGCAGCTGACCACCTGCTCCAGTATCCCCGGCAGTACAGTCTGCGGCAGCACGCGGGCAACAGGTCATATAACATGGGGACAGCCCGAGGGTGCCAGGCCATGTAGCGCAGCGACACGGATACAACTACTCAGCTCACTTTCAGTGCTGCTCTCGGTACCGGGACCAGATCCACTTTGAAGTACACTCAGAGACAGCCAGGATCCGGTCAGACGTCAAATATGAGTTGCCGATCCTGTCATAACGGTCTCCTCGGCAATCTGCAGTGTCTATCCCGCGCCCCTTTCCGCCCCCTTGCTCGGCGCCAGTACGGGCCGCACCTTTTTGTAGAGGTCGACGTTGACGGCCTCGAGCTGGCTGAGTCGCAGCAGGTTGGTGCCCACCAGCAGCCGCAGCTCCTGGCGCTCGCGCTCACGACGCTCGCGGTCGCGCGTGTGGCCCTGGTGCTGCATGCGCACCCACAGCTTGTTCATCTCGGCGAAATTCAGCAGGATAAAGTCGATCGAGTCACGCACCTGTCGACGATGGAGCGAGACATAAGTCGGCGAGGAGAGACACATTAGTCAGAGTGGAGCGACACATAAGTGGGCGAGGCGAGAGTCGCCGAGGAGCGATGCATTACTCGGAGTGGAACGAGGCATAAATCGGCAAGGCTAGACATTATTCGGCGAGGAGAGACACATAAGTCGGCGACGAGCTAGACAGCGTGGGAGGAGCCGGGCAGCCGGGGGGCGCCAAGGACCGTGCCGGAGAGCACAGAGGACAGGGGGCAGGACCCGGGGGCAGGACCCGGGGGCAGTCCGGGGGCGCCGGTGGTGCCACTGACCGTGCCGGTGCGCTCGTCGCCCTCCTCCTCCGTGTCCGGCAGGATGTCCTTGGTGCACTGGAGCAGGTAGTTGCGCAGAAACAGGCCGCGCAGCGGGTTCTGCACGCCGCGGCACATCTCCACCAGGTCGTGCAGGATGTCGCGCGTGGCCTGGGGCGCCGTCTTGGTGAACACGCGGCCCACGGTGATCAGCAGGAACCTGCCGACACCGTACGACACCGTAACCGGCCGCTGTCTAACCGGCCGCTGTCACCGCCACCGAAACCGATACTGGTCAGAGAACACGGCCACTAAAAGTATCGCCGATCTCAGGCGCAACCCAGCTCAACCGTCGCAAACGACACCATTTAGTGATAAGTGCTCCAATAAACGAACGATCAGCGAGGAAACAAAACTGCCCGTAACAATCCGATCGGCTAACCGTCACACAGTAGCAGCGGCCGACCACTCACAGTTTCAGGACTGACTACTCACAGTCGCGGTACGATGTTGCCGGCGTACTGGACGAGCTCGTACAGGTCGGTCGGCTTGCGGCCCTTCTGGAACTCGTCCATTAGACACACCTCCAGGTTCCGCAGCTCGTCACAGATTACCATGTATAGCTCGTAGTAGCTCTTCGGCGACAGCCTGCCGACAGTGGGGCAGCTCCGTCAGACACAGTGGCGTCAGCTCCGTCAGACACAGAGGCGTCAGCTCCGTCAGACACAGTGGCGCACTGGCCCGGTCAGACACAGTGGCGTCAGCTCCGTCAGACACAATGGCGTCAGCTCCGTCAGACACAGTGGCGCACTGGCCCGGTCAGACACAGTGGCGCAGTCCGGTCAGACACAGTGGCGCAGCCGCAGCTCCGTCAGACACAGTGGCGTCAGCTCCGTCAGACACAGTGGCGTCAGCTCCGTCAGACAGTGGCGCACTGGTGCAGTCCCGTCAGACACAGTGGCGTCAGCTCCGTCAGACACAGAGGCGTTAGCTCCGTCAGACACAGCGGCGCAGTCCCCGTCAGACAGAGTGGCGCAGCCCCCGTCAGACAGAGTGGCGCAGTCCCCGTCAGACAGAGCGACATAAACCATAAGTCCAAAAGGATACAGGCGGTAAACAAAACTGGATAGACAGGAACATACCTGGGTACATCAAGCACGCATAACGGACACACAACTGTGGGTATTCGACTGTTGATGTTTGGACTCCGTCTCCTCCCGTCGATCCTGTGCAAATAAAGCCTCCACATGACTCGCCGTTACGGACCGTAACATTCCTTTCATCCACAATCGGTTAAAATCCACCAGAACAGCTTTATCCTCTGTACTCAGCATTAATCCATGATGCGGCTCCGTGAACAATGATACGTATTACGCAATCCGAAGCAAAGAAGTGGAAAGCATTCAGCACATCACCAGCGTCAAGGAAAGCCCGCAGCGACAGTCCCTGGGTCTCCCAGTCGCAGTCCGCAGCGACAGTTCCTGGGTCTCCCAGTCGCAGCCCGCAGCGACAGTCCCTGGGTCTCCATCTCGTTCGCCATTTGGCATCACCTGGATGTTCGCAGCTCGCCGAGGAGCGCCGAGGCGAACTTGAGGCCGTCCATCAGCTTGCCCTGGTCTAGCGCCCTCTTCATCTGCATGGCCTGCAGCTTCGTATTGGACTTGGCGTCATCCAGCGCCCTGTCCTGGTCGTCTATCGGAGTCGATGGCTGGAAAACAAAACGGGAACAACATCAATGGGAGCATCATCAACAAAACCGCTGCTGCAGCTCTATTAGTTCACGTAATATAAGCTGGATTGTATGACAACGGTAAAAAGAAAAACATGCCCTTCGACGATCACAGTGACCTGATATATATTTTTTTTAATAACTAAGGAAAGTTCAAAATACTGTCCGTATCATACACACGACCCATCCGAGACATTACGGCTTGTCAATGTGTGTTCCAGATGCGGATTTGGATGGCATAAAAAACAAGTAGGTACACGTCCCCGTCCCGTCCCCAGCATCTTGATATACCTACTGCAAGTCGATCAGCTTAACCCTCGCCCTGGCAGGGAGGCTGGCAGGGGGGGGGGGGGTCGATGCGACCCCCCCTAAGGTTTTTCGAAGATAGCGTAAGAACGGCGGCGCGCAGCGCCGCCAAATTTGGCACAGCCTATGGGGCAGCCTTTTTACATATGACCTGAAAATTTCAGGTCCGGGTGACCTTGGGTCAGGTCACCAGGTCAGAAAAACCGGTACAAGGTCATGGTCAAATTTCAATTTTCTTTTTGCACCTGTCCAACTCACAGTTTTGGACTGATTTCCTTCAAACTTTCAGGATGTGCTAAGTTCACCGAGTTGTATAACATATAGTTCGGGTTTTTTTGAGGTCACTGACCTGAGGTCAGTTAGAGGTCATTACGTCGTAATGTTAAGCCTATGGGAAAATACTAAATTCGGAAAATACTGGAGATATCCGCTTCGTTCTATCACTTTTGTGCTTTGAAACCAAAGTACTTAACGGCAGGTCACTTGGTGCTTCTTTGTTTGGTGTACTTATCCATGGGTCAGGTCAAATGAGGTCAACTGAGGTCAAATGACGTTTTTGCCAATAACATGGCACATAATGACGCTAGAGCTTAAAAAATGGTATCATTGTGTTCCTGGTGATCAGCCGAATCGAATGATATGCGATATGATGCAATTTGGTTAACTTGAACTTAATTTATAAATTTAAGTTTACTTAAAATTTAAGAAAAACTTTAAGTACACTTAAGCAAGCTAAAAAGTGCATCATTCGACGCGCCTTGACGTGCTGAGTTAACTGGTGCTTTTCTTTTTGCTCTATCTTAATTAGATCAAAAGTTATAAGCGAAAAACTGTTGACCTGTTTTTAGCGAAATTTTTACATTTACCGGGTGATCATTTGGGAATGAGATAAAGTAGGGTAGCCTGGGGCAAGACGCCCCAGATAATTTATTTTGCTGCATAAATTTTGTCCCACATCACCTGGAAGGCCAAATTTGTGCTCAATGCGTTCTTTGGACATTTTACTTTAAATTGCACCCCTCAAATTCATTCACTTATGATCGGACTCCAAGCTAGAAAGTGATTTGTGAAGCAACTGCAAATGGGGCATTTTGCCCTAACCCCAGGGCAAAACGCCCCACGGCCTGGGGCAAGTAGCCCCATACTTTAGATTACAGATATAACATGGTAGTTGGCTTAATCTTATGTGAGAGGTCCGTTAGACCTCTGGAGGCACGGCTCTGAAGTTAGCACATTCCATCCTGTCAGGTGTTCAGCTATGACACTATTGTATGAGCAGGTTTTTCACCTGCCTCATAAGACCAAATAATAAATTATTGCAATGCAAATGTTTACAGAATACTTCCTTTGCCATCCAGTTGCTGAGAAAAATACACATAAAGGCATAGAAACTTACTGTTCGCCAGCTACCGAACATTAGAAAGTGGGTAGGCCGAACAACACATGAGGTAAAACGCCCCATGGGGCTTTTTGCCCCGCGACCTACTGGGGCGTTTTACCCCATCACGTAGTTCGGTCAGAGAACAACGCTTTGCACTCCAGCAAGACATAATTTAACACGAACCAACCCGGCATGATAAGCGTTAGACAATAGTTGTTCAAAATACATAAAAGTCGTTAACCTGATGTGGACCATAAAAGAACGCCATGATGCATAATCTGACAACAAAATATAAAAATCACTCAAAAAACACATTTTTGGCTATATCTCCCGAAAGAGTCATCACAATTTTTTTCCAGTCTGCTCATATAATGATCATATAGTGCACGTTTTAGAGAAGAGAGGATGTTTCCCCAGAACTCTGCCAGTTCCGAGAAACATCGGTGAGGCGCTTTACCTCGGCGGGGCGACTTGCCCCGGTCTACCCTAAGTGGCACGTGCAGATGTGTATTCAATAGCACACCAGACAAAAGACACGTCATTAGACTCGTCATCGTGGGACATTTTGTACTGCACACTATTATACATCTGCAAGCCACTGTTCATCTACAGCAGGTGCTCAAAGTGGCCACCCCCTTCTGAGCGGCACAGCTCAGCCCGACGGCGTGTGTGACGCGCCATCTTTCACAGCTGCTCTTCGTCCATGTTGCGGGCGAAGTCCTCAACCAGTTCCTTCAGCTGTTCCAGCGTTTGGGGCTCGCTGCGCACGATCTGAGCCGTCACCAATGACCAGAAACAAAAGTCCAGACAAGACAGGTCGGGACTGTACGGCGGCCATCGGTGTTCACTGTTCCGGGAGATGACGCGGCCGCCGAACTTCGAGTGGAGGAAGTCCATCACGGGAGCAGTGACGTGCGGCGGCGCGCCGTCCTGCTGGAACCAGTACTGGTGGCGCGTCGCCCGAGCCCTCACCGCAGGCCACACCACCGTCTGCAGCATCTCCAGGTAGGCGTCGCTGTTGACGGAGCCAGTGAACCAGTGAACTGGCAGGCACTTCCCATCCACCACGCCCACCCACGCCATCACCTTCTGCCCCTGGGCCTTCTTGCATGGCACGAGCTTGTTCGGATTCTCTGGCGACCAGCACACGGTGTTCTTCTTGTTTGGAGACGGATGCAGAACAAACCACTTTTCGTCACTCCAGAGTACACGCTCAAACCACTCCTCATCATGGGTTAGCCAGAATTCACAGGAGTCCATCCTGGCCATCCGCGTCATCTCCCGGAACAGTGAACACCGATTGCCGCCGTACAGTCCCGACCTGTCTTGTCTGAACTTTTGTTTCTGGTCATTGGTGACGGTTCAGATCGTGCGCAGCGAGCCCCAAACGCTGGAACAGCTGAAGGAACTGGTTGAGGACTTCGCCCGCAACAAGGACGAAGAGCAGCTGCGAAAGATGTCGCGTCACACACGCCGTCGGGCTGAGCTGTGCCGCTCAGAAGGGGGTGGCCACTTTAAGCACCTGCTGTAGATGAACAGTGGCTTGCAGGTGTATAATAGTGTGCAGTACAAAATGTCCCACGATGACGAGTCTAATGACGTGTCTTTTGTCTGGTGTGCTATTGAATACACATCTGCACGTGCCACTTACTTTATCTCATTCCCAAATGATCACCCGGTACATATACCCCCCAAAACCAGGGTTTCGGAGTCGGAGTCGGAGTCGGAGTCGCCCGGAGTCGTGGCAAGCAGCTAGGAGTCGGAGTCGGAGTCGGAATCGGTCCAGCTGCCTCGACTCCGACTCCGGAAAGTTAACTGAAGTCAATCCGTGCTATCACTTTTCAGTTCTTTTTAACTAGTGGCCCCACGACAAATTTCGCTTCCGGTGATCACAAATCAGGTATTTTTTTTTCACACATCTTGTTTTTGTTCTGAAAAGCTAACATTGCTTCTTAAAAATTTCAAGTTATGTCATAATTTAGCAGGCAAGCATTTTGTATTCGCGTTATAACTTCTACTATCCAGTATCAAAGACTTAATGACAACTGTAGGTACATTTACTTTCTTCTTTTATCGCTCCGAAAAGTGCCTAACACAATCACAGACCGACATGATGGCGATGCCCGTGTCATGATACGGCCACACTCGTGCTTCTCGGCGGGTTTTCAAGCTGGCCGCCGGCCGCTGGTCTCTAAGGATTCAGCTGCGTCCACGTGGGAGAAATGGTGACCGCATGAACGAAACCGGAGCGATCTCCCGTTGCGCGAACAGGGTGTCCGGAAAGTTCTGGCGCCTCTTTTGGACGTCCTTTAACCCTATTCCTGGCGGGGGGGGGGGGGCCTCAGGAGCCCCCCCCTGAGGTTTTTTGGTTATTTCTCCCAAACGCTTTGAGCTAGGAAGCTCAAATTTTCTGACTTTTACTAAAAGGCTTTTACGCAACATTTCTGAAAATTTTGAGTTGATCTGACCTCAGGTCAGGTCACCAGAGGCGGTTTGGTGACCCTACCTCAGAAAAGTTTGCAATCACGCCAGAGCTAGAGTTTTTGACCGATCAATTTCTTCTCTTCAGGCTTTAGTTAGGGTACCAGTATGTGCAATTTGTATATCTCAGAATTTTCATATCTGTGACCTGAGGTCAGGCCAGACTCGTGACCTTTACATTGCAATCCTATGGGAAAATATTGAAACGCCTCCTGCTTCGTGTAAACGAGTCAAAATCACCCAATTCTTTCAGTATTATGGAAGATTATCTCATCGGTGATGATCCTGGTGCCGCTAATTGACAGGGGCACCGGCAAAGGTCATCTGAGGTCATGTGACGTCATAAATCGTTTTTCTGTAAATAAATCACGACATGATGGTGCTAAAGACTTGTAAGTGGTACCAAACTGCTCGCCTGGTCAAGGCGCGTCGTTTGGTATGCAGCATGACCATACCCCACAACCTCATTGATGAATGACCTGACCTTGACCTCAGGTCAAATTTCAAATTGACCTGTGAAGGTCGTCACATACTTATTTCGCATCGCCTCGGCGAGAGCAACAAAAAATGTATTGGTTTTATGTCTCTATGTTTCTTAGTTTAAAAGTTATATAGGTAACTAATTCCAAAACATTTTATCGTTGATGACCTCTGGTGACCTCAATATTGACCTGACCTGAAAATGTTTTATGTAAAAGTTGTAGATCTTTAAACGACCTATCAAACGCCGTTCGCCGTTTGTCGCTGCGATGTGTAGTTTTTGAGATCTGAAGGGGGGGGGGCCGAATCGGCCCCCCCGCCAGTTTCTTGTCCCGGAGGAGCCCGCCAGGAATAGGGTTAACGCGCGCTGTGATTATTGGACTTTCAACCAATCACCTCAGATATGACCCCTCGTTCACTGCTCAGCTAGGGGTCGCGTACATATGACCCTGAAACCGTTTTCAGTGCTAGGTATATGGGCGAAGATGCGCCTTGTCGCTGAGAGCCCGGGCCCGGTGCGGCTTGAACGAGGCGCAAGTTGCAGCGCGATGCGACGTTTCCTGGCGAACGGTTGAGCAGGCAAAGGTGCATTCTGGATCGGAAATTTCTTAGAAAATATTCTCACTCAGTTACGATCACGGTATGCCAAAGCTGCCTGAGACTGAAGCAGCATTTCAGCGGCAATTGACGAAAATCTGGGGTCTGCTGGACACAAATGTTCAATCATCTTCGTCAAGGTCAAATAAATGACTGACAGGCTGGTCCACGAGGGGTTCCTGGACACGAAAATCAAGGCGACTTGCTCTAAGGGTCATTTCGCATTTCAACAGCACGGAGCGCCCTCCAACAACGCCGCTGCCGTCCAAACCAAACTGACAGAGGAGCTCGGTGGACCAGATCACCGCGGTGAAATGAGATTAGGGCACCTTATTATCCCAGCCTTAACCCGCTCGACTAAGGCATGCTACGTGTTTTGCAGAATAAGCTCTAGGCCACCTCTCATCCCAGCCTGGAGTCGCTGAAGACTCGCATCATGACAGCATGGAAGGACAGGAAATGTCCTGCATCGTCAAAACTCGCAGGCGTTTCCGTCCTTGCGTCGAGGCCGTCTTCGGCACAGACAGTGGCTGCAATGAATGGGCACTTAGCAGAAGCATGTGGCTTGGTGTTCCTGGTCATTGTTTTGTTCTATTGTTGAGTATCTATGTATGGACCAAAGGCATTTATTTTAAAAATGTTGAAAAGCGCCAGGACTTTCCGGATACCCTAGTGTAGACAGTAGCGGCGGAACACCTTCAATTAAGGGGGAGGGGGGGCACTGCCAACTTTTGGTCCCATTCTTTCCGTGCAACGCCCATAGGGCTTATGTTAAAATGCCAAAATCAAAGGGGGCACGGTGCCCCGGTGCCCTCCCCGTTCCGCCGCCTATGCCTGTAGACCTAACATGGCGCGTCATATCACGCGGAATTTTGGCAGCCACCATTGCCCTTTGTATCAGACCCGGAGTCGGAGTCGGAGTCGGAGTCGGAGTAGGTCAGAAGCCCGGAGTCGGAGTCGGAGTCGGAGTCGGATGAGGACTACCAAGACTCCGAAACCCTGCCCAAAACCCCCCTAAATATTGAGATAGAGCAACCAAATTTGCACAGGGGCGAGAACTCCAGGGGGCCCACCTACCTACCAAATTTGGTGTTTCTAGGTGCCATAGGAGCCAATCGCGAGGGGGGGTCGCATCAACCCCCCCCCCCCTGCCAGGCCGTGTTATAAAAAATGCCCTGCCAGGGCGAGGGTTAAACGGCGCACATTTACCGCAGTGCGGCTAAGTCAGTGTGGGTTTATTGCAGAATAGCTCAGTTCAGTCGGTGCGGGTTTACCATGAAGCCATGTGTATTGGCCGTGGTATGTGTGATACTGGTAGGGATCCCCAGTAAACATGCCGACGTCGGCCAACGTCGGGGTGACGTCGGCAACTCGGCATCGGCATGCCGACGTCGGCCCGACGTCGGTCCAGCCTCGGCACGACGTCGGCTGGATGTCGGATATGCCCGCATGTACCGACGTCCAGCCGAGGTCCAGCCGACGTCGGGCCGACGTCGGACCGAGATCAATTGCTGAGGTCCAGCCGACGTCGGGGCGACGTCGGACCGACATCGGCCGCTGTTTTGACCGTTAACATAATATAAAATACATGTTTCATGTTTCATAAAGAGCTTCTGTATTCAAAATATCCTCAAGAAACTCAAATCTTCCTCCACGCCGCAACCCCCTGATCCGGACTGGACGGGAAACTTTATCCCATTTGGGATTGCCCGTAAGCCGAGCTCGCCCGTAGCCGGGTGCGGTGAGTGCTTGGGGGCTGCTCGGCCTATCCTTTGGTCAGACTCAGTCCCGGCAACTCACCAGGGCCGGGCCCAGTTCATATGGAAAGGCCAGTCGGCAAGTGTCACTTTGCCAAAGTGCTACTTATCAAAGGGACACTTTGGGAAACGTTGGTGCAGGTGTGTAAGAGTGGCTATATGAATCCATTGTGGGGTCGCTCTTTCCAAAAGTGTCACGTAACAGCAATGGGACCAGGGACTCTAAAGGTATGAACTGGACCCAGGGTGCTCGCAAAGAAGACCAATGTCTCCATCCTATCATCCTTCCGGCTCTGAAATGGTCTTGTCAGACCGAAAGGGAATAAGGCAACAAAACAAACTAAATTCGCTATCTGCCTGCGTGGTGCAATGGTTAGCGCACTAACCTCGCGTCCAAATGGCACGGGGTTCGAATCCCTTCGCCGGCTGGTGTTTTTGGCGTGTTGTCCCAGTAAACATGCCGACGTCGGCGACTGGGGGGCTCGAATCCCGCCGCCGGTTGATATTTTTGGCGCGTTGTCCCAATAAACATGCCGACGTCGGCCCCGTCGGTCCAACGACAAACGATCTCGTCAACCTCGGCAAACGACCTCGGCCCGACCTCGGCTGGACTTCGACTGGACGTCGGAACATGCGGGCATATCCGACGTCCAGCCGATGTCGGGCCGAGGTTGAACCGACGTTGGGCCGACGTCGGCATGTTTACTGGGTCACTGATCAGGTGTATTACAGAACGAATTTGCCATGGAGCAGTGCAGATCAGTTGTAGTGCTCTAGTACGGAGTGGATTCAAATCATGGCATGGGGATGTGATTCACCTGTAATCTCTTCAGATGACTTGTCAAACAAACTACCTTCCAATGAACGCAGGCACCCTACATTACCGGGCATGTGCAAGTTGACTCTCTGGCCAGTGCCAGTCTTCGGGATCAGTCTTCTCGAGCCCTTCCAAACCCCACTTCAGGACTCTTTACAATGCCAGTCACCTCAATCAGGTATCAGTATGGTTCACTCCAAGTCCAGTCACAGCTTTAGCGACTAGAAGACCGAAGATCAACCAGTCTGGTCCTAACTTTAGCCCCAATCTCTTCCGAGGGCTGTCACAAATGTCAACCCAGGGGGCTCGGGGGGGGGGGGGCAGGTGGCCTCAGATGAACATTACATTCACCACCAGTTATGCTGAATGCTGCGCTAATATCTTGGCACAATCTGCCTGCTGTGCAAGACATGTCAATGGTAATATCAATCCTTTCCCAGTCTGGGCCTGTGGACTGTGGTAGGTACCTAGCTATGGTGCAGAATGCAGATCTTGCATGGTGCAATTGCATGCTGTCATGGTCATACTCCTATCTGAAACTGGTGTGCTATTGCTGTACTGCCCAAGATAAATGGACATTGGTAGAGCAGACGTCACACGAAGGTTTTCCAACCAAGGAGAGGCGCTGCAGGTTTGTAGGTTGTAGGGTAGGTTTGTAGGTTGTAGGTTTTTAGGTTGTAGGTTTGTAGGTTGTAGGTTTGTAGGTTGTAGGTTGTAGGTTAGGTCAGGTTAGGTTAGGTTTGTTTAGGTTTTGTTAGAAAGAAGTATCTCCGGGCATAGCGCCTCTCCTTGGTCGGAAAACCTTCGTGTGACGTCTGCTCTACTAATACCGATAAATCTATATCTAATGGGGTGAGGTCAGTTGGTCAGCAGCACTTTTAAACGGAAAACAGCCAAATAATTGAGTTCTTCATGCAAAGGCGAAGTCCTAGACTTGGATAACACTGACACAAATGCACCTCCACCTCAGGTGCATGCGACCTATTCTGATTCTACAAGTTGACTTACCATATTTTATTGTTATCACGATATAGGAGCGCAATAACAAAATGTTCCTGCTTCGCCCTACGCCCAAATCGCACGAGTGAAATATGAAGAAATAAGGGGGCGACCCCGAAGAGCTGCAGCAGATCCGCGATGGTAAAGATCAAAGATCAAGATCAGCAAGTTCAAAATACAGGATCGTAAACGGGTCAGGCGGCTTTGAACACATTTCTGTTGTCTGATACAACGCGCCATAAATGGAAAACTATCGTCATAGTTGTAGTAAATACTATAGAGATGAAGATCTTTGTAGTACTTGGTTGCATACATGCATACTTGCATTTCACAGTGGTTTCCAAAAGCTGTACATATGTCAATATAGATTTCAAAACAGTTTTTAAAGCATTATAACGATAAACAAAGCAAATTTTAGCTGGATAGTAAAAAAGTTTTGAAATACTTAGTACTTGCTATGCATACGCTCACGTCATGTTGATCCATCACTTCCTATGATTGCAGAACGCACTGCTTGCGTGGTGTAATCTTCGAACAGTAGAGTGGACATATTTTATTTATATTCAACTTTTAGAAGTTGAGGAGTATTGTTGTGCAATTGTGTGCAGTGAGGTTTGTGAAGGTGTGTGGCTTGTGAGGCGTGTAAAAAGCGTTTTGGTGTAGCACTAAAGCAAGCACTGAGCAGCACTGAGGCACACTTCACGCTCAAAATTTCCCAGCTTGCAGCTGCGGACTGTAGCTGGAGCAGAGCGAGAGTGAGCGACTTTCTCATTGCGTTCGCTGTGGAAGGATTGACGGATCCGAAATCTAGCTCGAGTGCCATCGCCGATTCCGACATACCTGCTTGGCGAAGTGATTTCGCTTGGTGGTGGGTACAAGTCTCAAAGGAACCTTCTACGAGGTGCGTTTATTATAATTATTATTATTTGCATTGCTGGCTAGATCAAGATGATCAAGGGCTGTGGCTGGCAAGGGTTTTGTAGTCCAATTTCACATAACCCCCATAATCATGCATGTCAATATCAATATAGAACAGAAATGTTCTGAGATGGTGATGCTTCTACATTTTCCATACATACCTATGCTTTTAAAAAATCACTGTTGACCACCTGGCTCTCTGTGTCTGTTTGTTCCAGTTCCCTGAAGCATCAACTTACTTGGATCCAGAAAGTTGGCCCCTATGTAGGTACTATTGGATAATGGATGATACAGAGGCATACCTACCTACTTCCCTAGAAGTCACTTTACAATGTTAATTGATGGGGATCATTTTTACTTATAGGATCCTGGGTGAAATCTTCCTTTCTCACCTTATGCTAAAAAAAATATAAGAAACTGCACCATATTGTCAAAACTATTATAATATAGCTATTATTTTCTTTCTTATTTTGCCAATTTGTCCAGTTTTTAGAGGGTGCAAAAAGAGGAAATGACATATTGTTGCAACAATTGCATTTGTTTAGAGGCCTGGGGTGTTCCTTTTGGGTAGGTACAAGAGCACTGCACAGTTCTCAAGCAATAATGTGCATGCCCTGTTGTCTGTGTTGCCCATGGGCAAGGAGGAAATGTAGTCAGCCAGCTCTTTTCAGCTGTAGGTTGTCAGGAACTCAGGAGATTCATGAGACTCATCTGGTGTCAAAAGTGAATTGAGGGCACCTAGACCCCTGGTTTTGGAAGCTGGGGCAGGGCTTCCAAATCCACACCACACTGATTCTATTTTCTACTTATATCTTAGTGGTAGTATGTATATTCTCAAAGGACATTTGGGGCAAATTCAAACATATACTGATAAGTCACTCTCTGTAGTCAATACCTATATCATCAGTCCAATAGGCAATAACCACACTACAGCTACTATCACTGTCATGAGTCTGAATGCCCCTATCTGAAAGTTATTGACAAAGAAAATGTTAGTAACCCTCAAACCCAGCTAGCAAAATTGGTCTGGGGTCTGGACTGTATCTGGTTCTCTGGCTAGCTCTGGCACTTACTCTGGGTGAAGTATGGACAACGTCTGGGGCTCTACGGGAGCTGACACACGATCCCAGAGCTCGCCCGCAGGCCGTACCACGGCCGGACTTATGCCGCATCAGCCTTGCCTTACCTCAACCGTACTTCAGCCACATAAAGCCAGAGCAGCTACGAGGTAGCCGGACCTGGCCGTATCACGCCGTGGCAGGGAGCTGGACTAGAGCCGGACTTGGCGGCTCGAAACCATACCTACCAACGTCGGAACACTATGGCAAAGACTGGCTTACCGGAATGGAGTCATGTCGACCCAAACCCCCTGTTCTGACGGCGTTCCGTTTACACCGGCCCAAATCTGAGTTGTCGAAGTTGCCGGGGCAAAACGGACTAGCGGCCCACATGTCCCTCAGTGGATGCATCTGGTCCCGGTTTAATTAAACGGTATCGAACGGTCGCTACTCGGTGTTCGGTGTGGGGGCATCGGTGGGTGTCTCCTGATGCAGTGCCAATGCCGGTGGACTTATTTGCGCCGGTAGGATCGGGCGCGGCGCCGCTGACCCGATAGTTGTTGGATAGATAGTTGGTCCGACTGTGTCCGTGTTTTCTAGCATGTCGCCTCACTCGACGTGGCTGTGCCCGTGATTTGGTATCGAACTGAGTCGGTCTGGCTGTATATGTGATTATCTAACCTGTCGTGCTTATCTGGTACCGTAAGATGGGGCTATTTGAGTCAGTGGGGCTATTTGAGACAGTATTTAAAATTGTTATAAAGTAAAAACCATTTGAAAATTTATGCTTAATTTTTGCTCAGGCGATTTACTGCTGGATTTCACACCTCCCTGAGCAAAAATATCACAAAAAATCAAACGATCTTCATTTTATAGCGATTTTAAATACTGTCTCAAATAGCCCCACTGTCTCAAATAGCCCCACTTTACGGTATGTCGTTTGGATCGGTCTGGCTGTGTCTGACTCGGTTGAGATGTGTCCTTTGTTATCTAACTTGTCGTCTCAGTTGGTCTGGTTGTGCCCGTGATTATTCAACATGTCGTCTAAATCGGTCTGACTGTGTCCGTGATCAGGTATCTAACCTGTCGCCTGGGACAGTCTGTGTCTGAGTCGGTTTAGCTGTGTCTGTGGTTAATTGTTATCTTACCTGGCGTCTTACTCGATCTGGCTATGTCCGTGGTTAGATATCCAACCTGTCGCCTGAGTCGGTTTGACTGTACCTGTATCTGATTATCCGACCGGACAGCCGACGGTAAGCTGTGCGTTCTCACAGCCTGGCATTCTGGCTCAATCATCTGTTATCCGATTGCCCGTCTGTGAATTTCGCTGCATTTCACCCTGTCGGATCCTAGAAGAGTGGCATCCGGGGCATTTGAACACCATCAAGACACCTCGGCAAACCTGCTCCCCCCCCCCCCCCCCCGTAGTACCCGCTGCAGCGATTCGGTAGCGTGCGCTGGGTCTCTATTCCGTGCACAACTCTGAGCGCCTTTTTTCGGCCGGTGCAGCGGCTTTTGTAGGTAGGCACTTCACGTGTTACCGGTGCGGCCGGTCCCTCCTTGTTCCTTCTTTGTCTGCCACTCCCCTCGCCGGTGCCGTGTCGTACCGAGTAGGCCGTGCCGTGTCGTACCGTGGCCGTGATGTGTCGTACCGTAGCCGTGCTTTGTCGTATCGCGGCTGGAAGTGCTGTGTCCTGCCGCAGCCGAGATACCGCGCTGTAACCGTGATTGTGAATGTGGTCGTCACATGACCTTGTCGTGCCATGACTGTGTCATACCGCGCCCCTGGGCTCATACCGTGCCGTGACTGACGCCGTGCGGCCGTGCCGTGACTGACACCGTGCTGTGTGCCGTTACTGACGCCGTGCCGTGTGCCGTCACTGACACCGTGCCGTGTGCCGTCACTGACACCGTGCCGTGTGCCGTCACTGACACCGTGCCGTGTGGCGTCACTGACACCGTGCCGTGTGCCGTCAGTGACGCCGTGCCGTGTGCCGTGACTGACGCCGTGCCGTGTGCCGTGTGTTGCAGCGGCCCGGTGCCGCCGCCGGCGCGCCTCCACCATGACGGAGCGGTTCAAAGTGACGGCGGCCAGCACCAACTCGTCTTATGGCGCGCTCGAGGACGGTAAGGAGGAGCCGTCCGACGCCGCCGCGGCCGACCAGCCGGGACCGGGGCCGGCACCGCCGGGACCGTCCAGCTCCGGACCGTTCGGACCCACCACCTACGTCCACCAGAAGGGTAACGTGATCCCAGCTTCTGTTCACTCGGCTGCCGGCCGTTCTGCCTGCACGGTAGCGCCAGGCCGTCTGCAGGGCCCGGGTGCCCGGCGCGCCGGCAGCGGACGGCGCGTCGGCGGCCGGCAGTTACGTCAGCGGTCCGGGCGCGGGCGGAGAAAGCGCCTAAGTCACTGCCGGATGGGCGGCGGGTCATCAGTGGGCGGCCGACCGACCGGTCAGACGGCCGCGGCGATATCCTCTGTCACAGGCCAGTCCAGAGCCCCAGCAGAAATTCACAGCTGTTTGTAACATAGCGACAATGAAATCAGCTGTTCTTTCGTTCATTATTGCTACTCGAATTTTGTATGCGATTCATTTGTCCTGTTGTGCGCTATATTTCCGGTCTGATATCCGTAACTTCGAAGTTAGATTAAATTCAAAAGATCAATCACGCTTGTCGTGGCTTGACTCGCCGGTTTTCCGAGTCGTGTTTCTTATTTACGGCCCCCACAGAGTGGAGTTATCCGAGTGCGGCAGGTGGCCTATCTATCTCACCTGGCCGTATCTCGGCGGCCACCAGCACGCCGCCGATCGATGTATCGAGGGAGGGGGGCTGGTGGTCGGTCAGTGCCGGCATCCTGTGCACATTGCCCCAAAAGACGGTAAATAACTTTTGAAAACACCCATCTCCAATTTTAGTGTTTTCTGGACCAAAATTTTGCGAGGAATCCGATGGTGTGGTCCCCGAGATCTGAAAAATTTCCATTTTGGAGATAGCACCTATTTTTTGAAAAAATAAATATTCGTCAGGCATAATAGTCAAATAAATTGAAAATATAATGAGTTAATTTTGGTAACAACACAAGAATGTGTCGAACATGAATTAGAGATATATTTTAGCTGAGATGATACTATATCTGCGCATACATGTACATGAATTAGTACATTAACCCTCGTCGGCCGAGAAGGGGTGGGGCGGGTGCCACCTC